TCCTACTTCTTTCAACACTGTCCTAGTCAATAAGTTAAGTAACAAAAATTAAAGGAATAAGTTATAAAAGTATACTTTCTTGCAAATGATAACTGTGTAGAGAACACTTAAAAACAACTAGATAAATTATTAAAATTACTAAGTAATATTTGCAAGGTTTCTAGACAAAAGAACAATAAAAACAACTGTATTTTCTTATAACGGCAGCAAATGGTTAGAAAATGTAAGAGAAGGGCCGGCCCCGTGGCGCACTGGGGAGAGTGTGGCACTGGGTGCGCAGCGACGCTCCCGCCGTCGGTTCGGATCCTATATAGGAATGGCTGGTGCGCTCACTGGCTGAGCACGGTGAGGGCGACACCACACCAAGGGTTGCGATCCCCTTACCGGTCATGAAAAAAGACAAAAAAAAAAAAAAAAAAAAAAAAAAAAAAAAAAAGAAAATCTAAGAGAAAGGAGAAAATTTTTAAAATTACCATTTACAATAGCATCAAAACTTTTTAAATATCTAACTACAAATCTAAAAAATTAAGAAAAAAAAACGTATAAGACTGTTTCCCCAAAATTATACAAAGTTATTGAGAGAACTTAAGAGGACCTAAAGACCTAAGTGGACAAATATATTGTGTTTGTGGACTGGAAAATTCAAATTTGTAAATAAGTCCATTAATCCTATCTTGGTCTAAAACTCAAGGCAACCTCAAAATATCCCAACAGGATTTTGTGTTTGTGTAGAAATTGACAAGCTGATTCTAAAATTTAAATGGAAATGCAAAGAACCAAGAATAGCCAAATATTTTTTAAAAAGGGGGGGAGGGAGGAAAATTTACTATATATATATCAATACCTCTTAAAAAGATGCATAACTAAGGCAGTATGGTACTATCGCCATCATAAATCTTGAATGAAAAAAAATAAAAATTTTGATGGGGATTGCGTTGAATTTGTGTATCACTTTGGGTAGTACACAATGTAATACTACTCAGCTATAAAAACGAATGAAATACTGCCATTTGCAACAACATGGATGGACCTTGAGAGAATTATATTAAGTGAAACAAGTCAGGCACAGAAAGAGAAATAGCACATGGGTAATTCTCCCAAACTCATTCTGTGAAGCAAACATCACCCTGATACCAAAAC